AGACTCAGGAGGCAAAAGGATCGCAAGTTCAAAGCCAATCTCCTCAGCAATTTAAGGAAACCCAGGCAACTTAGCGAGACGCTGCCTCCAAGTTAAATATAAAAAAAGCCTGGGTCTGTGGCTCAGCGGTTGAATGCCCCTGGTTTCAATCCTTGGTACCAATAAATGAATCTCAAACGAGGTGATTCTTAGACTGAAGTTTTCAAGAACTGACCCGGTGACCTTGGTCTTTTAACTACACCATGCCTCAGTTTCCCCCTTTTGCACCAGAAAAAAAGAATTACTAGTTATCTCGCAATTTTTGGTCCTAATATATCTGTTGTCAGAATTAAGACACGTCTGAGAGGTGATTGGGTGCTCACCCTGAGGTCTCCTCATACCTGGCGAATTCTAAATTCAATCTGGGAAAAGAGATAGGAAGGGCTTTCGGATGGATTGTTCAAAGAGAAAGTAGCTTCTGGTTCCCAGAGATCAGTCCAGGCCTCTTTAACATCTGATTCCAGGCGCGTTCCAATACACACTGTCTCCAGCCGGCCTCCGTCGCGCATCTGGTGATGTAACACGACGTAAGCTCTGGCCCCGGTCGCCCGGCTGTCAAGATGGCGGCCCCCAGGAGCTGTGGTCTATGGAGTTACGCCCGCGCGATGAGGAGCTACAGGTTCTCAGGGCTTCGTAGTTCCTGGCCCGGGAGCCTGCTGAGCCCCCGCCTTTTGTCCCAAGAGAAGCGAGCACCGGAAACGCACTTTGGGTTTGAGACTGTGTCGGAAGAGGAGAAAGGGGGCAAAGGTGAAAGGGGCGAGAGGGCGAAGGGAGGGATCTGTCCAGTCGTGATCTGGTTTTCTTCTGTCCAAGTAAGGGTTGATTTAACTCCTTTTAACTTCATTCTGTTGTCTGTAAGGTCGTGACATCAAAGGATTATCCCACTGCCCGACCCGGCAGAGCTTAGCCGCCCGCCACTTTTATATTATTATTATTATTATTATTATTTCATCATTATTATTTTGGTACTGGGGATTGAACCCAGGAGTATTTAACCACTGAGCCACATCCCCAGCCCTTTTTTATATTTTATTTAGAGATAGGGTCTTGTTGAGTTGCTAAATGCTTCGCTAATCTATCAGACTATCTCTGAACTCATGATCCTCCTGCCTCAGCCTCCCAAACCATTGGGATTACAGGTGTGCACCACCATGCCCAGCTATTTTTTATATTTAGACAGGTTCTCACTAAGTTACTTAGGGCCTCACTAAATTGTTAAGGTATGCCTCAAAATTGTGATCCTCCTGCCTCCGCCTCCCAAGTCACTGGGATTACAAATGTAGACCACCACACCCCGCTTAAGGTATAGATTTGGGCATCAAACATTATGATTTAATATCACCTTTCAAAGACAGGCGTGTTCAGAGAGTGGCAGCAGAAGCTTCCTTTATTCCAGGTAGGATTTTCTCATTCCTAGTAAGAGCAATTGTGTATTTCTCTCATATCAGTCTATCAGGTGTTTGAAAGTGTGGCCAAGAAGTATGATGTAATGAATGATATGATGAGTCTTGGTATCCATCGTGTTTGGAAGGATTTGTTGCTCAGGAAGATGCACCCATTACCTGGGACCCAACTGCTCGATGTTGCTGGAGGCACAGGTAATATTGAATTTGGTGTCCTTAGGTACCATTGAGCATGAATTACAGAAATTAGTTTCTCTTATTGGAATGAGTTAGCCCACTTACTGTTTTAGTCAGCTTTTTCACCATTGTGACTAAAAAAACCCCACTAAAACAATTGTAGAGGAGGAAAAGTTTGAGGTTTCAGAGGTCTTAGTCTATAGAAGGCTGGCTCCGGCCTCTAGGTGAGGCAGAACATCATGGTGGGGGAGTATGGTGGAGGGAAGCAGTTCACATCATGGTGATCAGGAAACAGAGAAAGATTTCACTGGCCAGATACAAGGGGACATCTCACATCCAAACCATATTACCTACCATTAGTCCAAAGGTAATAACTGAAAATATGAATACTTATAATATCCGAGAAGGGTTTACAAAAATATTAGTCAAAAGCAGCTTTAGGGCTGCGTTGTGGCTCAGTGGTAGAGCTCTTGCCTAGCATATGTGAGGCACTGGGTTCGATCCTCAGCACTGCATAAAAATAAATGAATAAAATAAAGGCAGTGGCACACACCAGTAATTCCAACTACTGAGGAGACTGAGGCATAAGGATTGCAAGTTCAAGGCCAGTCAGAGCAATTTAATTAAGATCTTGTCCCCCCAAAATAATAAAGCCTGAGGGTGTAGCTCAATGATAAACCATTTGCCTAGCATGTGCAAGATCATGGGTTCAATTCCTAGCACTGGGGGGAAAAAAAAAGAGCAGTTTTGTGCTTCTCACTTTTCTGTTAAAATAGGATTTCAAAGTAAAAAGACTAGTTTTTGACTCCAAACACTTTCCCATCTAAATGACTGGTTTATCTTTTTTCTTTTTTTCTGGTATGTGGGACAGAATCCAGGACCTTGAACATGGCCAAGCAAGTGGTCTACCACTGAGCTATACCCCCAACCTATTTTTATCTTCTTTTTAGCCCTCAACCCACTTTTCCTCTCTATTTGGGGAGAAAACCTCTTAGCACATTATATAAGCTTTCTAAGAAGCCCTTTCTACCTAATCTGCTATCACATCAGTTATCAAAAGCTTAATTGTTATGCACAGTCCTTTGTTATTTGTTGCACACTGGGCATCTGGGGAGAAAAATGTCCTGTTTTCTAAAACATATGTTGATGACTAGCACGCAGTGAGGCCTCAGGTTTGATCCCTAGCACTGTAAAACAGAAATCTAGTGTAATGTAAATAGTTATTATTCTTAATTGTTTAGGATATGCTGACAGGAAAAAAAATCTGCACATATTCAGTACAGTCAAAACCATTGTAGGCCTACTACATTTTGTTTATTTATTTATTTATTTATTACTAGAGATTGAACCCAGGGCTCACACATGATGGGTAAGCACGTTTCCATTTGGCTGTGTCCCAGCTGAGAGCCCAGGGAGAGTCCCACAGTCCCTCTAACTTGCTATCCTCCTGCCCTGGTCTCCTGAGTGAATAGGATTATAAGTATGCACCCCCACATCCAGTGCTAATTATAATTTTTTGGTACTAAGGATTGAACTTCAGGGGACTCTACTAGTGAGCATCTCCAGCCCTTTTTACTCTTTTGACGGGGGTGGTTACAGGAGGGATTGAACTCAGGGACACTCGGCCACTGAGCCACATCCCCAACCCTTTATTTAGAGACAGGTTCTCCCTGAATTCCTTAGTGCCTTGCTGTTGCTGAGGCTGGCTTTGAACCCATGATCCTCCTGCTTCAGCCTCCCAAGCCTCTGGGATTACAGGCATGTGCCACCACACCTGGCTCCTTTTTACTTTTTTATATTAAGACAGGGTCTTATTAAATAGTCCTAGCTAGCCTCAAACCTGTAATCTGGGGCTAGGGATATAGCTCAGTTGGTAAAGTGCTTGCCTTGCATACACAAGGCCCTGGGTTTAATCCCCAGCATTACACAAAAACAAACAAAACCTGTGGTCTGCCAGCCCCAACTTCTCCAGGCAGTGGGATTACAGGTACGCACTACTGTGCCTGTCTCTAACTGCATTTTTTTTTTTTTAACAATTTAACCTTAGGCAAGCACAGTGGCACACACCTGTAATCCCACCAACTTGGGAGGTGAGATAGGAGGGTTGCAAATTCAAAGCCAGCCTCATCAACTTATCAAGGCCCTAAGCAACTCAACAAAGCCCTGTCTCTAAATAAAATATAAAAAAGGGCTGGGGATGTGGCTCAGTGGTTGAGTGCCCCTGGATTCAATCCCTGGTACTAAATAATAATAATTATTATTATTATTGTTATTATTTAGCCTTTATCTTATTAATTTATTCGTATGAGGTGAACCCAGTGCCTCACTCATGCTAGGGAAGTGCTCTACCACTGAGGTACAACTCCAGCCCTCTAACTGCATTTTTGATCCATAGTTGATTCAGTCTTTGGATGCAGAACCTGCAGATACAGAAGATCATCAGTATATATTTATGTTTCTGTTATAAAAATTATTTCATGGGCCAGGTGTGGTGGTGTACACTTATAATCCCAGCAATTTGGGAGGCTAAGGCAGGAGAATCACAGGTTCAGAGCCAGCCTCAGCAACTTAGCGAGGCCCTATTTCAAAAAATAAAAAGGACTGGGAATGTGGTTCAGTGGTTAAGTGTCCCTGTGTTCAATCCCCAGTATAAAAAAATATATATATAAAAAGTGCTGGAGACGTAGATGTTTGTAGAAACAAAACAAGGAAGAGTTGTTGAAAAAAAAAGGTTAACATTGAAAAAAGTAGAAATTTCTATTTTCATGCACTCATCCACTCCTTTTGTTACTCCTTTTGGGTTTAGGAAATGCTTTTTTTTCTGTTTTGGTTTGTATCTTTCCTCCTATTGGCTTCCCACAGGTGACATTGCATTCCGGTTCCTTAATTATGTTCAGGCACAGTATCAGGGAAAGCAGAAGAGGAAGTTAAGAGCCCAACAAAATTTATCCTGGGAAGAAATTGCTAAAAAGTACCAGAATGAAGAAGATTCTCTGGGCGGCTCCCGTGTCATGGTCTGTGACATCAACAGGGAGATGCTAAAGATTGGAAAACAGAAAGCGTTTGACCGAGGCTACAAAGCTGGTGAGTCTTACATAAAGTTGACACAGGGTATGTTTATAGAATTAGGTGGATTACATAACATTGAAATGCTTTTTAAAAAATATTATATGGGGGCTGGGGATGTGGCTCAAGCGGTAGTGCGCTCGCCTTGTGTGCATGCAGCCTGGGTTCGATCCTCAGCACCACATACAAATGAACATGTTGTGTCGGCCGAAAATAAAAAAAAAAAAAAATCTTAAAAGTTCTCTCTCTCTCTCTCTCTCTCTCTCTCTCTCTCTGGAAAAAAAAGAAATCTGAAAAAATATTATGTGGTATTTTTTCATATTTTGGGGGCACAGATTGATGAAATTTGTTGTTATATATTTGTACTGAAACGCTCCCTCACCAATTTTTTGATATTAGGAATTTAAACCAGAGGCACTCTGCCACAGACCTACACCCCCAGCCCTTTTTAGTTTTCATTTTCAAACAAGATCTCACTATGTTGCCAAGGCTGGCCTCCAACTTGTGATGCTCCTGCCTCAGCCTTCTGAGTTGCTGGGATTACAGGCATGTGCCACCACACCTGACTCTTGAAATGCTTTTTATTCCAGCTTTCAGAAACTCATTGTTAGAAGTTGAAGATCGTTTATGTGACTAATTCTATATTACTATGGTATTCATTATACATTCATCACACATTACTATGATATTCATTATGCATTTATTTCAGCAACCTGTTGAGCTAAAAAATGACTAGCCCTATGTGACAGGGAATATAACCAGAGCCCGAAAGGGTTAAGGTTCTTACTCAAGTCACAAAACTTAGTGGCAGATCCTAAATTGGAGCTGAATCTTTGGATCTCAGCTCTTGGACCCTAAAATGGAAGTTTTGCTTCCAACTCTCAGCCGCTCTAGGATGACCTCAGCATATCATTTCTATTCTTAATTCATTCCATTCCCTATCAGTACTAGGATGGCTTGATTCATGTAGAATGTGAGCAAGCTGCTCAGATTTCCTGTGAAGACAAAACTTGCCCTTCAGCCCCAAGACTATACTTGGTTAGCCCTTCCACTATTAGTAATTTATTTTCTCCCTCAGATTTCAAGCAAGGCCAAGCTCTTTCCTGGCAGCCCCCAGACCACAACTGAGCACTATGTAGTTTCGAGGGCCTGCACATTTCCCAAGCAGGACTCTTAACAGTCAGTCTTTGCTCCAAAGATCCCTAACTGAGTAGTCTAAGGCCTCATTACAGCTGCATCAAGGTTTAAAGACTTTTCCTGCTTCATCTTTCTATCTCCTCCTTTTACCTTCCCCAAGTATTGCCCCTGCCACCACCAGAAAAGCAAAAATGAAAAAAATCTTTCTACTCCTTCTTCTGTTTTGGCATCTGTTTCTCAGAGGTCATAAATGACCCAGAGAAATATCCATACAGTACTCCTCAAACTTCCTTACTTTCACATACACCTGTAATCTCAACAACTTGGGAGGCTGAGACAGGAGGATTGCAAGTTCAAGGCCAGCCTAGCAATTTCGCAAGACCCTGTGCTCAAAAAAAAAATCAAAAGAGCTAGGGATGAACCTGGCACAGTGGTGCACACCTGTAATCCCAGTGGCTCAGGAGGCTGGGGCAGAGGCTGGGGATATGGTTCAGTTGGTAGAGTGCTTGCCTTGCATGCATAAAGCTCTGGGTTCAATCCCCAACACCACCAAAAGAGAGAGAGAGACAGAGAGAAAGGAGGATTGTAAATTCAAAGCCAGCCTCAATAACTTAGTGAGACCCTGTCTCTAAGTAAAATATGAAAAAGGGCTGGGGATGTGGCTCAATGGTTGAGCACCACTGGGTCCAATCCCCAGTAACAAAAAGGAAAAAACAAAAAAGGGCTAGGGATGTACTCAGAGGTAGAATGCCTCTGGTTTCAGTCCCCAGTACCAAAACAACAACAGTTTCCTTACTTTAGTAGATCAGGCAGATTGGTGACTGCAGGAGCCCTCTGCAAGCTCAAAATGGAACAGACTCAAAATGGAACAGTTGAGCTCCAGCATGAGATATAAATTTTAGGGGGGCTGCGGATGTAGCTCAGTGGTAGAGCATTTGCCTAGCATATGCGAGGCCCTGGGTTCAATTCCAGCTCTCTAACAAAAAAACAAAAAAAAGAAAATGTAAATTTTACATTTGTCTTTCCATTTATTTTAATATTTTGAAATGTTTCTGCCCCCGAATTTTTTTTTTTTTTTAATTGTTGGCTGTACCCTGTTGACCCAACTTTTCAAGGCCACTGCATTGCCCTCTTCTTAGCTGGCCAGGCACTGCAGGCAGCCACAGAGAGGCAACAGTAGGCAACAAAGAAAAGAAAGTACCTCACGTCAACACCTGCATTTGTCCTTTCCTCCTGCCCACTTGAATGTCTGTGGTTATTTTAGCCCAATTCTTCTTCCTCCTCCTCCTCTCACCCTCAGAAGGAGCTGCCTAGACGAACTACAGCCTACTTGGCACCCAAGATGAAGGGCTCTTTTGTTAACCATCAACACTAACCAGAAGGCAGACAGTCACTAGTGTTTTTAGACAAAGGCACTATGTTTTCTAACTCCTACTGATAACCCTGTTCCCGTCTCCCTGGTGTTCACCCCAAAGAATGGAGAACAAAGATATTGAAATGAGAGGTAACATTCTATTTATGGAATCATCTCTTAAGTAGTAGCTTGCCTTCCAAGCTCTTCTAGCAGCCAGGAAAAATGTATCTGCATAGGAATTAAGTGTTCCATAGTATGGTTTTCTTTCCTTCTTGCTTTAGTAACATCCAGTAATGCTTTTGCAAAACATTTCATGCAAAAACAAATTGAAACTAAGTAAGGGGATCTTAGAAATTATTTAACAGATGTGAAAGTTAACATTTAAGGGAATTTTGTATGTCTACTATTGTATATTTTATAGATACACACACACACACATATTTGTGCATACATTAGGGATCAAATTCAACCCCCATACCAAAACAAACAAACAAAAAAAACTCTTGTTAGATGTTGTTTATTTGCTTTCTGGACAGTTTATTTTCATTTGCCTCCTCTAGCCTTCTTTTTATATTTTATGTCTGATTGGATACAGGTGAAAAGGACAAAATTACAACAGTGTAGTTAAAAGATCTTAATTGGTGTCATTTGCAATTTTTTACTCTGGTAACACTTCATTCCATAAAAAATAATAATTGTGTTCCCATGGGCCAAGCAAAAGAGGTTAATTTTTTTGTTTTGTTGTTTTTTTGTGGTACTGGGATTGTACACAGGGGAGCTCTACCACCAAGTCACATCCTCAGTTCTTTTTTATTTTTTATTTTGAGACAGGATCTTGATAAATTTCCCAGGCTGTCCTCAAATTTGTGATCTTCCTGCTTCAGTCTCCCAAGGAGCTGATATTGCAGGCATGTACCACTATGTCTGGCAGGATGTTGGTTTCATAAACAGATAAAGGCTAAAGAAAGCAGCTCGGTGGGCTCACATCTGTAATCCTAGTGCCTCAGGAGGCTAAAGTGAGAGGATCACAAATTCAAACCAGCCTCAGCAATTTAGTGAGTCTGTGTCTCAAAATAAAAAATAAAAAGGGCTGGGGATGTGGCTCTGTGGCTCAGTTAAGTACTCCTGGGCCAAATCCACAGTTATGGGCCGAGGGAGGGCATATATACAAGAGTTGCTTTCTTTGTACTGAGGTTGCCCTTGAACTTGTCATCCTCTTGCCTCAGCCTCTCAAATTGCTAGGGTTATAGGCATCTGCCATAGTGCCCAGCTGAAATTACTCTCCTTGTAAAACAAGGCCAAAACAATAGAAAAATAACTGACTGGTCAACAACAGATTACATCAGTTTTTTTTTTGTTTTGTTTTTGTTAGAATTAAAGTCAGAGAAAACTTCATGACCATGCTGATTGAAACTAGACTGGGCCAGGCACTGTTGTACACAACTGTAATACCAATGATTTGGGAGGCAGAGGCAGGAGGATTGCAAGATCAAGGACAGCATCAGCAACTTAGTGAGGACCTAAGTAATTTAGTGAGATGCTATCTCAAAATAAAAAAATTAAAAGGGAGCCAGGCACGGTGGCATACACCTGTAACTCCAGCATCATGGGAGTCTGAGGCAGGAGGATCATGAGTTCATAGCCAGCCTCAGCAACATAGTGAGGGCCTAAGCAACTCAGCAATGCTCTCTCTCTAAGTAAAATATAAAAAAGGGCTGAGGATGTGGCTCCTATTCCCAGTACCAAATAAAATAAAACTAGACTGAGAAATTTGGCTGTTATTTCTCATTTCTTCTAGTTTCTCAGAGGGTCAGATAAACAGCTTATTTTCAGCGTGGTGATGTAGAACTTTTGTATGAGTGACTCCAAGTTTTATTTTTAGCCTGGTCGGTGGGGACTTAGTGCAGGAACTCCAAAATAGTATCATCCTGTAATTTTTATTTAACAGCGTTAAAGTCATTGTCCTTAGAGGAGATAGTATGTTTCTGAATTTAAGACTATTCTTGGGGTCTAGACACTTTCTCTATGACTCCAATAGAACCAGTATAATAATTCTTTAATATCCACAAATAATTTATTTTAAGAACTCCCAGCAACTTAGTGAGACCCTATCTCAAAATATAAAAAGACTAGGGATGTAACTCAGCTATACGGTACCCCTAAATTCAACCCCCAGTTCCAAATATAAATATACACACAGAGCTAAAGCTGAGAGTGTGGGTCAATGATAGATTGCTTGACTAGCATGCTCAAGATTCTGGGTTGGATGCCCAGCACTGGGGGGGAAAAAAAAAAATATATATATATATAATGATGAATCTGGTATTAGAATCCAAGCAGTCTAACTTAAAAGAACAGGACTGTTAACCACATGTTCTATCCAAAGCACTTAGTTGGATAAAAATTGCTTGAGGGTGGAGCTGGGTATATATCCCAGGCTAAAGCACTTTGCCTAACATGTGTGAGTTCAATCCCTAGCATGATTTTTTAAAAATAATGCTCGAGTTTAGTATAAGTAAATAAACATCGTTATACTCTGAAACCCTAGGAGGAAAGACCCAGATCCTGCTAAACTTCTAGGATACCAGCTTCAAATGTTTAAGATTAAGCCAGATGGGATGGCAAATGCCTGTAGTTCCAGCAACTTGCAAGGCTAAGACAGGAGGATCACATGTTCAAGGCCAGCCTGGGCAACTTAGGGGAGACCCTGTCCCAAATTCAGAACTAAAAAATCCTGGGGGTATAGCTCAGTGATAAAACATCCATGAGTTCAATCCCCAATCCTAAACAAAAGCAAAAACAAAAAAAAAAGACTTCTTAAGATTGAAGGACCGTGAAGATAGTGGCCAGGAATCAAATGGAGAAGAGAGGTTAATCATGTTTTCTGACATCACTTCTGATACCAGATGTGTGTGTGTGTCTTCCCAAAAGCAAACAATTCTTCAGTTTGCTGACACCTAGTAGGTGTCCAACAACTCAGTACAGTTCAGTTCTGACAATGCCAAGTTTGTATCATACTCCATAGATTTAAGGGCTCAGTTCCACAAAACTGCCTCCACTTCAGATGCTAGTCAAAAATTGGCTAACCTAGGCTACTCACAGTTCTGCCTGGCAGACTACAGATTCCTCAGGTTCAGTAATTCACTGGGTACAACAGGGTAGATAGCTACCCAAACTGAGACCCCAAACTGATTTTGTCTTCCAGGACTTGCATGGGTACTGGGAGATGCTGAAGAACTGCCCTTTGATGATGACAAGTTTGATGTTTACACCATTGCCTTTGGGATCCGGAATGTCACACACATTGATCAGGTATGGATGCCTGCATCCTGAGATTGTGTGACTGTAGCACCAGGCAAGATGGTACATGCTTGTAATTCCAACAACTCTGGAGGCTGAGGCAGGAATATTGCAAGTTCAAGACCAGTGTGGGCAATTTAAAGAGCCCTGTTTAAAAAAAAATTTAAAAGACTGGGGATGTAGTTCAGTGGTAGAATGCCCCTGGATTTGATCTCCAATACTGAAGGGAAAATAAATAAGTAAATAAAATCAGTTCTCTGGAGTGTATCCATAGCGGGTGAGGGAAGGAGATTCTGCTCTGGGTTCAGCACTTGAGTGGAGTGAATGTTTTAAGCTTAGAGGCTTCTTCCTTAAAATTGCCAACTTTCACAGGGTATGGTGGCACGTGCCTGTAATCCCAACAGGAGGTAGAGACAGGAGGATCAGAAATTCAAAGCCAGCCTTGGCAACTTAGGCCCTAAGCAACTTAGTAAGACCCTTGTTCAGAATTTAAAAAAGGACTGGGGATGTGGCTCAGTGGTTGAAAGGCCCTGAGTTCAATCCCTAGTACAACAACAAAAAAAGCCAACTTGCCTAGCTATAAAATTGAAAAGGTCAAAAATCACAGAGCAGCTCCCATAGGAGTGTTTGTTGCTTGGGTTGACATTTACATCTTTGGGATGGTTAGTCTTGCCCTGGCATTTCATCTGTTTCCTCTCATTTATGAAGCTGTGTGAGCTTACAGACGATCAGAGATATGATCAGAGGCTGACACTGAAAAATGTACTCAGGTACTATTCTGTCAGAAGGTAGCTTCATAGTTCCTCTGCAGGGAGAATGGAATGTTCATTTCTTAATTTGCTTCAGTTCTTTATTTCTATTTTAGTATTCTGTTCAAAACATTTGCTAGGGGCTGGGGTTGTGGCTCAGTGGTAGAGTGCTTACCTAGCATGTGTGAGGAACTGGGTTCGATTCTCAACACCATGTATAGAAAAATTTAATAAATAAAAGATCCATTGACAACTAAAAAAATTTTTTTTTAATATTTATTATTTATCGGCAGATACAACATCTTTGTATGTGGTGCTGAGAATCGAACCTGGGCCGCACGTATGCCAGGCGAGCGCGCTACTGCTTGAGCCACACCCCCATCCCCTAAAAAATATTTAAAAAGAAAAAATTTGCTAGCTGGGCATAGTAGTGCATGCCTGTAATGGAATTTGGAGGATTGCAAGTTCAAGACTAGTCTTAGCATCTTTTGCAAGATCTTTAGCAACTTTCACAATAAAAAATTAAAAGGACTGAGGATGTAGCTAAGTCTTAAAGTGTCCCTAGGTTTAATTCCCAGTACCAAAAAAAAAGCAATATGTGATTATTACAATTATAAATAGTAAATGTTTATTATAAATAACACATTAAATGATAACATTAGATATATTAAAAATATAGATAATGTATCTATAAATATATATATTTTTCCATGTTAGGACATAAAGAACACTGGTTCCTCTTATTTGCTTGTTTTTACAGGGAAATGAACCCAGGGGTACTTTACCATTGAGCTACATTCCCAATCCTGTGTATTTTTTATTTTGAGACAGGGTCTTGCTAAATTGCTGAGGCTGGCCTCAAACTTGCCATCCTTCTACCTCAGCCTTTTGAGTTGCTAGGATTGCAGGCATGTGCCACTGTGCCTAGCCTTATTTTTTATTTTGAGACAGGGTCTTGCTAAGTTGCTGAGGGCCTCCCTAAGTTGATAAGGCTGACCTGGAACTTGTAATCCTTCTGCCTCAGCCTCCCAAGATGTTGGAGTTACAGTCATATGCCACCCTGATCAGCTGATTTCTCCTTTTTAAAACAGCTGAATAGATTCCTTTTGTGTAGCTATTCCCTAATTTAACCAGGCTCTTGTTAATAACTAATTTAAGATGCCTCTAATCATATGCTTATTCAAATAGCAAATTACCCTTATTCATGACATTTCCACAGCAGAAGCATTTCTGTAAGATCACTTAAAGTAAAATTGTTATGTTGAAGAGGATATCCAGCCAGGTGTGATAGTACATGACTGTAATCCTAGAGACTCAGGAGACTGAAGCAAGAGGATCACAATCTGGAGGCCAGCTTTAGCAACTTAGCAAGACCCTGTCTCAAAATCTAAACTGAAAAAGACTGAGGCTGCAGCTCAGTGGAAGAGTGGTAGAGTGCTCCTGAGTTCCGTCTCCAGTACCAAAGAAAAAGAAGATATCCATTGATTTTGATCCCCAATTCTAAATTTGGTCTTCATGAAATTTTACCAATCCGTATAGTCAGTGAACTTCTCTAGTTATGGGCAGCATTTAGGATATGTAGGGTTATTTCTGCTGTTATCTTTGTCCAACTGAGAGTAAATCAGGGATTTGTAGGAAATTAATATTTATAATGCCCACAAAACTAACACTGTCTCAGCTACATTGGAATTGAGTGAGGTTGGTGAAGCATGTGTCCTGTTCTTATCTTTCTTAGGCTCTCCAAGAAGCCCATCGGGTCCTGAAACCAGGAGGGCGGTTTCTCTGTCTGGAGTTTAGCCAAGTAAACAATCCCCTCATATCCAGGTTGGTATTCATAAAAGGGCTTTATCTTCATTGTCTATCCAAAGGGTTTTCCACCCCAAAATGGATAGAAAATAGCCAGTAAGCTATAACATGAACTTAATAATTGAGTCCCAGGGCTGGGGTTGTGGCTCAGCAGTAGAGCGCTGGCCTAGCAAGAGCGAGGCCCTGGGTTCGATCCTCAGCACCACATATAAATAAATAAGTAAAAAGAAAGGTATTATGTCCAACTACAGCTAAAAAAATAAATATTGAAAAAAAAAATTGAGTCCCAGAGTCCCTGAAAGACCTCAGAGGTCAGGCAGTTGGGAGTGATGATTCTTAGGCCAGAAGAGACCCAAGCTGGCCCACATTATATATTTTGTTTGGCTTATATGGTATTTTAAGAAATTGACTTAAAATATGGAAATTTTATGCCAGGCATAATGATGCATCCCAAAAACCTCCATGACTCAGGAGGCTAAGGCAGGAGGATTGCTAGTTTAAGGATAAACTCAGCAACTTCTTGAAGCCCTAAGCAACTTAGTAAGACCTTGTTTCAAAAAAAATTAAAAGGACTAGTGAGGGGCTAGGGTTGTAGCTCATTGGAAAAGCACTTGCCTAGCATGGGTGAGCCACTGGTATGATCCTCAGTACCACATGAAAATAAATAAGATAAAGGAATTATCTACAACTACATCTACAACTTAAAGGGGGAGGGGGTTAGGGAGATAGCTCAGTGGTAAAGCACCCCTGGGTTAAATCCCCAATACTAAAAAATAAAAAGTTGGAAGCTAGCCCCAGCAACTTAGTGAGACCTTACCAAATAAAAATTTTTAAAAAGCTGGGGATGTTGCTTAGTGTTAAAGTGCCCCCTGGGATCAATCCCCAGTCCAAAATTGAAATTTAAAAAATCAAAATTTTGGGGCTGGGGATGTGGCTCAAGCGGTAGCGCGCTTGCCTGGCATGCGTGCGGCCCGGGTTCGATCCTCAGCACCACATAC